TGAGGTCAGAACCAGGGACCAATCAAAGAACTCACCCATATTTGACAGCAGGAACATCTCACTATATCTTGCCCACCTGGATGGTGACTGGGATGTGTTTCTCTTTACTCCCTTTTCTGAATGGGCATTTTAAACTAGTCACTCTCTTCCTTCTCACCCATTTTATATTGGTAGTTTGGAGGCACATCAACTCTAGACCATACGGACCCTGGACCTGATGCAACCTTCCACACATCACCCATGATTTTGAACTTCAACCTGAATGCACTCACTGGGTGAGAGTTTGAACCTGTATTATGGGGGAGGGAGAGACAACGAGCATGTGACATGCAGAGCTTGTTAATGTGAAGGGTGTGTATCGATGCAGACTCGTTAAAGGGATGCTCTGTGTCAGATAAAGACACCAGCCACTCAACACCATCCCAAGTCCATGTCCACTTTTAACCCCTCTTCTCTATTAATGAGAATCAAAGATGACTATATCAATTTCCCACTTACGTGTCCTTGGGACATTGTCCCCTTCAATGTGATGTAAAAGTCTTGTAGAGGGCTTTCATCTTCATCTTTTTTCTGAATAGAAGGTCAATCCAATGCCTAGATCCACAACAGCCACCTACAGACGTGAAGACAAAAGCCACATTAAGGAAGGTGGAGCAAAAAAGGACCAGTGGCCCAAGGTAAGGACAGCCCTATGGAGACATGGCACCAGCTCTAACCCGACCTTTGCTGGACTCAGAGACAGAACGGAAACCACTGCATCAGGGCTCTCTGTAACTGACACACATCTTCACCACTAATCAGCTTGTAAACTTGGGGAAGTCATACAATTATTGTGACTTGGTTTTCCCATATACGAAATGAGAGTAATATAATAATAAATCACAGAATTGGGTAAATAAAACACAAAAATATATGCAAAGGATTTCAAACAAATCTTTTCACATAATAAGCACTCAGTAAACAACACTCGTTAGCACCAGTAGCAGAATAATTATATGGGGAAAGCCCAACCTCACCAGTGCCGCAGAAAAGTGAAAGTATAGTACGGGAAACTATTTCCATCTGTCAAGGTAAATAATTTATAAAATGAATTCAGGGAATTCCATGGTGGTCCAGTGGTTAGGCCTCCGTGCTTTCACTGCTGGGCCTGGGTTCAATCCGGGGTAGGGGAACTAAGATCCCACAAGCTGTGTGGTGTGCCCACACCCCAAAAAAAAAAAAATTCAGAGAGGGTGCAGTGAAATGTATACTCTGATATATCACTGGTGGGACTATAAATTGATACAATTCTTAGGAAATAAATTTGGCAAATGGTCCTAAGGATTAGAAATATCCAAACCCAGTAATTCTACTTCTGGGCAGAGAGAAGACTTAAAAATACCACAGAGTATTAAGAAAGAAGATGTTAACTGTAATGCTACATAAAACAGCAAAAGTCTGGAAGCAGTAGAAATGTCCAACAATTAGAAATGATTAACCATACTGTAGTAATTTTGCTGAAATGTATCATATGTAATAATCATTCAAATTATGTTAGTGAGGTGTATAAGATGGTGTGGAAAATATATATTAAGGGAAATACTGACTGTATATATATGAATAAAACATATAACGTGAATAAAAAATCACACAAAAGTAGGAAATTTACCAAAATGTTAACATTGCTGATATCTGGGTTATGAAACTGTAAGTGGTATTTTCCCCCTACTTCTAATTTCTTCCATTTTACCTATTTCCTGTAATGAACTCTCTACCAATTAGGATGCTTTTAGCTGTAGAACACCTAACTTGCTTTAATGAAAGGAACCTTCCTATCTCACAGAACTGGGGAGTCCAGGGCAGGCTGGGATTCAGACACCATAAGGGTAGTGATTCAGCATCATCAAGTGCCAGCTCTTTCCATGTCTCCACTCGGGGTCCTCAGCACGGGCTTCATCCTCAGGGTGTTCACCTCACGGTTTCAACAAAGCGGCGGCCAAAAAAAGTCATGTGCTGACTGGCGAAGAAGGATAGTTCTCTGGAGTAAACAAACTTGGTGCTCTGTTGGGAAGAAGGGGGGGGGGGCGAATTGATACTGGAGAGTGAGCAACAATGTCTTCCCCAAATGGCTACTCTTGTCATTTGTCAAAGTATGTTTACTGCTTCCAAGATTTTCCAAAGTAATTCATTTCACTGTAGAAGACTTGGAAAACAGAGGGTATCAAAAAAACCTCCCATAGGACCCTATCACATAGCATGACCACTATTAACATTTTGGTTCATTTGTTTTAAAACTCTAAACAATACTACATAACATTCTACCATATGGAAACAGCATAATTTATTTAACCATTTCATTCTTGCAGATAATTTCTGTTAATTCCATTTTCATTATTAGTACCTTTGGATGGAATATTTCACCTGATCTCTAATTTGCTTCCTTTGGATAGCGTCCTTTAAGTGATATTACTGGACCAAACTTGTTAAGACTCTTTTTACATATTGCCAAATGAATACATATTACACACCTAATATGAGAAAAAAACCTAATTGATAAAATACAAAATGGGAACCATATTTCCCATAAGTTCACAGGTCAATGTAAATCCCAGATTGTGTAATTAAGAAAAAAAGGTTTTGTTAAAATTAAGGCATTATATAAATGTAAGATATTATTTTGATATAAACAAAAATAATGAACACCTGTAACTGTCTCATGACAACAATCACTCCTAGGGATTAGTTTATAGTTATAGTTTATATCATACATATTGCCAATTGCTTAAAACTACTTTCAACATTCCACAACCTATCTATTAATATAACAGAAGCAACTTTTATCTTAGTTCTTATTTATACTCACAGGACTTTAATAATCTATTAATTAGTTTAAAAATTATTAAGCACATAACTATGTGCTTTGAAGATGACTAGGAAACTAGGAATACACTAGTATAATTGAATGTGGAAGACAGACACAAACCAACTAAAATAAATGTGATATGTGGTAAAACAGAGCCAAGAACATTTCACTTCGAGAACCAAGAAAAAGAAGTAATTAACACTTGTCTTTCTTCTCCTAGCTCATCCTCTGCTTAAATTTCTACCAGCTGTTCTTTTTGCCTGGTCTTTTAAATCTGACCTGTTCTGCCCCCTGGAATTTGTGTGGCCTCATTTCTGGTCTGCCTTCATAAGCTGAAAGTCCGTGACTGGCTCCACTCATTCTCCTGTCACTTGTCTCTTCTCATTCCAGATCACCCATCTCTTCTGACCTCCAGTGCCCGTTATCACCATGTCACCCCTGCCACTGCCTTCCCAGCTGACCAGCTAGGGGGCTAGTACTGGTCACGCCTCAGAAGGATGCATCAGAAATTAAATTCCTCTGGGCTTTTAAGTAATAGGAAGAAAGTAATCCAAACTTAGGGAGTACAAAGGAAAGAATATGTACTCCAATTCACCTCATTATTAAATTAAGAAATTTGGAAAACTTTAGAAGCTTGCACTACTTTTACAGATGGAGACTTAATAGGTCTTTTACTAGTTACAGAAAGCATGTACAAGAGGAACAATAACTCACCCAAACAGTAAAACGGCAAAAATACGTGACTTAATAGTGGAAAGACGGCTCTTGAATAACCTCTCAAAAATATATGAAAACAATTATGTCATGATTAGGAAAGTCTAAAGGGATTGTTAAAGAAAGATCAACAGGGCTAACAAAGAAATGTCATTTCCCTTCCCTCTCTTATTTGTGTGAGAATTCCAGAGTAATGTTTGTCCACAGGATGACGGAGAAGCTAATGTATTTATTGGACACTTTCAAAAAGCCATGCAGGGGCTTCCCTGGTGGCGCAGTGGTTGAGAGTCCGCCTGCCGATGCAGGGGACACGGGTTTGTGCCCCGGTCTGGGAAGATCCCACATGCCGCGGAGCGGCTGGGCCCGTGAGCCATGGCCGCTGAGCCTGCACGTCCGGAGCCTGTGCTCCGCAACGGGAGAGGCCACAACAGTGAGAGGCCTGCGTACCGCAAAAAAAAAACAAAAAAGCCATGCAGAGCCTCGGTTTAAGTACATGCCTCTCCTGTCCAGTGTGCTGCACAGCTGTGCCCAGATCCAATCTGTGTGCATTTTGCATTTACATATGTTCACGTCTCCACAAAGGAAATATGAAGAGAAAAACAGGGAACGTTCCAAGAAAGTGTAAAGTGGATACGAATATAATTAAAACAGTAATTAGAAAACTGAGAAGCTACTAATTTTGTGATTTACTCATGTATTTTCCTGGTAATTAATTAATATTTAAATTTTTGGTAGTTTTTCATATTCAAACACAACATCCCAGGGTGAGAGAGTAAGTATTAGGCAGTCGCAGCAGTGGTATCTGTCACAGAACACTGTAATAGTGAAGGAAGTGAAAATGACTGCTTGATTCTCACCCCTAGAGGTGCTGCTGGGGAAAGAAACCGCTTAGTTTCTCTTTCTCTCTCCACATTGTGAAAGCTCAAATGTTAATTTAGGCACATACAACGATTACTCCATTCTCAAATGTCAAAAAGGTAATTTGAGGGACTTTCAACTGAAAAGTTTAAGATCACCATATTGAAGTATATTAAAAACTCATAGTGTGTTTGGGACTAGGTCTTAAACTAAAGTGGCTAAAAATTGCAATAATAAGACTTGCAGTGACTTTGAGCTATGAAAGGTCAAAGTGAAAGGAATAGAATCCCATAAAATTAAAATCAAGGAATGAAACAAGCTGAAATTAAAATGATTGTGGAAGAATATGGTAGCCTGAGATTAGTCAACATATAATAACGATAGAATGGGCTATTTTTGAAAAATCATAAAAAAATCTTTTGGGCTAACCCAATATAGTATATTTGAAACTATTTTAAAAACAGTGATCCAAGAAATATTTTGGAGTCATATGTAGGTCTGGCACTAATGAATAAAGATTACTGGATGTACTGTATATAAGGCATTTGGACATACCGTGTTTCAATTAAAATGATGACACCATATATTGGTAATATCTAATATATTTAATTTTGGCATAATAGTGATTTATTATATAGTAATATTTCAAAAATATACTTTTGTGTTTAACAAACCACCGAAGAGCTCAAAATAATGGCCTATAAACATGCTTTTGCTCCAAACACCAAGCTGCTATTGCACTGAAGGCAGTGAATTCCATCATGGGAGTTATAAGATCCAGGGCTGCAGATCACTGTGGATAAAAAAATAAGTTAATAAGTAAAAGTTTCCTAACGCCACGTAAATTAACTTTACATGGAGGATAAATTTTCAAAGAAGGTTCTTTTTTTTCTTTCTAATTGTGGTAAAATGCACATAGCATAAAATCTGCCATTTTAACCATTTTTAAGTGTGCAGTTCAGTAGTGTTAAATGTATGCAAATCATTGTACAACTGACCTCCAGAACTTCTGCATCTGGGAGAAACTGCAACTCTATACCCACTAAACATCTCCTCATTCCCCCTCTCCCAGCTCCTGGCAGCCACCATTCCACAATTTGTTTCTATGAGTTTGACTCCTCTAAATGCCTCATGTAAGTGAAAAGTTTTAAGTTTTCACTCTAATCCAGCTTAAACCAAGACTGTGACCTAAAATAGTTTTACTGACCACACGATGTTGACATCAGAAGGCTGACTGGGCCATCCTGTAAGTTACAGAAGAAGCCACAAGGGGTCAAGAACCAAATGTGACTACCAGAGGGTCCACAGTAACCACGATTTAGATGTATAAAGATAGCCCCAAATATGGGAAGGACTTGCAGATCATTTCTAACAATCCTCTGATTTCAAATCCTATTTCTATCCTGGGCTAATGGTGTAATTCTGGAAAAATTACTTAGCCTAAAACGTAACTCAGTTTGGTCACCCCTAACATAAGGACAATGTATACCATGAATACGTCACCACCGCTCCCTCTGTGTGATAGAAAGTAAAGAAAGGCAGGAAGAAACCAAGGTCAAATACATTCTCTGCCATTGATTAACTTTGGGATCCTGGGCAAAGTAGTCAATTCTCTTAGTTCTAGTTTCCTTATTTGTAAAACAGGTACAGTAACAATCAAGTCATAGCATTACTGTGAGGACTGAAACCAGATGACTTAGATGAAAAGGCACCCAGCATGTGATGGGCACTCAATAAATGCTTAACCCTGTGCATTGCGGGGTTGCTGCCTCTACTCACCTCTTCCACTGGGGGTGAGGAGGGCATCAAGGTCATGGGATGCCATCAGCCCCTAACTGAGTTGGGGTCTCTGACTAACCTATTGCAGATGTGGTCAGCCAAGGGATCACAAAGATGTTAGTAACAGCACATCTAAGGCATGGGTATCATGGGCCATCAAAAAAGATTCTTTTTCTAGCACCATGATTTAATAATACATGCCACTGACTGAATCTGGGTCATATTATATTATTTAATTTCTTATTCTTTTTAAAATATATTTTTTCAAATTGGGAAATATCTTAACCATCACTCAGAAGAAGTATTTTCCATTCTAGGTTCCACAGAGCTCCTCAAGTTTTAACAGACATTTTATTTGGGAATTAATGTTCCAGATGGAAAAAAAATTGGTAAACAAAGTTAAATAGATTTATGCTGCAGTAATAAGAAGAGTGTCTAAGTGAAAATGTATGTGGTAAAATTCTAATGACATAATATTTCTCAAAGGTGTGTGATCGTGGTACACTTTCTCTCAAAACACATATTAATATTTCTTGATGTACAAATATGGAAAGATTTAGCGAATGTATTGAAAGTGTCAAATCGTTACATATGGAGAAGAGAAACCTGCATGCAGTCTTTACACACAGACTTTATACATGACTGTTACAAACAGAACTGATACTGGCATAAAATCATCTAAATTAAAGTTTAAATAAATAATGATATTCTAATAAATATTCTTATAATTTAAAAAACCTTCATAATATAGTACATGTTACACCACAGAGCCCTTATCTGTAGCACTCTCTCCTAGGATATATCCTGAAATATTTTGTTCTCTTTTAAGTGGAATTGAGGAAAAATGCTAAAATGTTATTTAAAGTACAAAATTAGTGAACTTTTCTTCCAGGTCTGAGTCTCAGTGAGTAGAACATCTCCCAGCTACAGTTATGAGAGCAGCCTGATTAAAACTTGATTATTTCAATAAGAAGAGAAGGAAGCATTGGTGACTGATCAGTATTGACATATGAAGAAATAAGTAAATACAGGAAAATATCTTAATGAATTTTGGATAGGGAATAATTCCTTAAAAAGGGAAGTGACTAGCCATAATAGAAAATAATTGATACATGTGGTATTAAAATTAAGAACTTAAAGTAACAATAGTAACAATAGTCAATCAAGAAAACTAGGAAATAGTTGCAGCTTATGTGACCAACAGAGGACTACCACTCAGAAAACACACACAATTCATGTAAATCAACGAGAAAAGGACAGAAAATAATAGGAAAAATTTAACCAAGGAGGCAAATTCTTGTGTACTGAAAACTACCAAAAATTGCTGAAAGGAATCAAAGACACAAATGGAAAGATGTCCCATGTTCATTTAATATTTAATATTGTTAAGATGTCAGTACTACTAACTATCCATGAAATCGCTATCTATGAAATCTCTAGATTCTATGAAAGCTCTATCAAAATCCCAGTGGTGGCATTTTCAGAGATAAAAAAATCCATCATAAAACTCATTTGAAATCTCAAGGGACTCAGAATAGCCAAAACAATTTTGTAAAAGAATAACAAAGTTGGACATCTCACACTTGCTGATTTAAGTACTACAAAGCTTTGTAATTTCAGTGGTCTGGTACTGACATAAAGACAAAATTACAGACAAAAAAAATAGAAATAAACTCCCAAATAATTTTTAACAAGGATACCAAGATCATTCAATGAGGAAAGGACAGTCTTTTCAACAAATGTTTGACCAAACTGGATATCCACTTGAAAATGAATGAGGTTGGACGCACCTTACACCATATATACAAAAATTAACTCAAAATGGATCAAAGACCTAAACATAAGAGCTAAAACCATGAAATTCTTGGAAGAAAACATAGGAAAAAGCTTTATGACATTAGATTTTACAATGATTTTTTTATATGACACTGAAAGCATGAGGACAAAAGACAAATAATTAAATTGGACTACATCAAAATCGTAACTTTTTCTGCAAACTTGAACCAAGGAAAGGCCATGTGAGGACAAAATGAGAAGGTGGCCCATTATGCCATCTGCAAGCCAAGAGAGAACTCACCAGAAATGAATCACCAGCACCTTGAACTTGGGCTTCCAGCCTCCAGAATTGTGAAAAAAAATTTTGTTTAAGCCATCCAGTATATGGAATTTTGTTACGGCGGCCCACCCTAAAACAGTATTTATCCAAAAGAACTAAGAGTAGGATCTCAAAGAGATATCTGCACACCCATGTTCAGTGCAGCACTATCCACAATAGCCAAGAGGTGGAAGCAACCCTATGTCCATTGACAGACGAATAGATAAAGAAAACGTGGCATACACATGTGGACAACGGAAATGTGGTACATTCGTGCTGGGCCACCTAATGTGATGTTAATGTGGGAATGTGAAATTATAAAAAGTACTGTGGAATGGTATGAAAATGTGTGATGGTCACATGTTGGAGGTGGGAATGTGATACATATACACACATATACACAACAGAATAGTATTTAGCTTGCAAAAGGAAGGAAATTCTGACACATATTACAACATAGATGCCAAGTGAAATAAGCCAATCACAAAAGGACAAATGCCACATGATCTCATTTACATGAGGTACCTAGAGTAGTCGTCAAATTTATAGGGACAGAAAGAAGAAGAGTGGTTGTCAGTGACTGAAAGGAGGGCAGAATGGGGAGCTAGCGTTTAATATGTACAGAATTTCAGTTTGGGAAGATGAAAAAGTTCTGGAGATGGATGGTATTGACGCTTACACAACAATGTGAATGCGCTTAATGCCACTAATTTGTACCTTTCAATATGCTTAAAAGGTTAAATCTTATGTATATTTTACCATAATAAAAAATGTGATGCATTACATAATCATCAGATTGCAAATATTTAAAGTTTGGTTATGCCAAGAACTGGCATAGATGTAGACAGGATCTGTCCTACATTGCGTTGTAAAAGTGTTTTCTAAATTTTTTGTATTAACCCAATCTGACATATTTTAATGAATTGCTCATCTTATGATCCAATATTAGCTAAAGACCTAGGATAGGGCTTCCCTGGTGGCGCAGTGGTTGGGAGTCCGCCTGCCGATGCAGGGGACACGGGTTCGTGCCCCGGTCCGGGAGGATCCCACGTGCCACGGAGTGGCTGGGCCCGTGGGCCATGGCCGCTGGGCCTGTGGGCCCGGAGCCTGTGCTCCGCGGCGGGAGAGGCTACAGCAGTGAGAGGCCCGTGTACCGTTAAAAAAAAAAAAAAAAAAGACCTAGGATATACAAACAAAAATATTCACAACACCATTGTTTGTCATAGTAGAAAAACTGAGAAGTAGGAAGCAATTTCAACCAACAATAAAACAGATATATACTCCTTGACATATTCATAAAATAGAATATTATATAGAAAAGAAAATTTTTTAAAATTGTGTTATAACCACAAAAATGTGCATGAATCTCACAGATACAATTTGCAATACTGTGAATCCGTTAAAATAGCCTATCATTGGACATATTCTCAGACTGGATTTTTAAAAATCCAACTTTATGCTGCTAATGTAAAAATGTAAGTTTTAATCAAATTAATCTATACCTGCACTGCACTCATAAATAAAACCTCAACTATAATTTTATTTTATATAACTTGACAAATCAATTTAAAATGGACAACTTCTAAAGAGAAAAAAGAAGGTGGTTTACCCTTTCTATACAACAAGACATTAATTACCACAAACAGTAAAACAAAAAAGAGGACCCTTTAAAAGACATATATTCGTGTGTATGTACATATATGTGTATATACACACAAATGTAGGTGTGTGTATATATGCACCATATATTATAAGTATATATATGTGTATGTATATACACACACACACACACACAGTATGTACCCTTATTTTATGGACCTGAGAGTAAAGAAACAAAATTTGAAATTAATAAAATAAATTATTAGAGAATTTTTTCCTGGTTGTGAGGTAGGTAAGACTTTTATAAGAGAAAACAAATA